CACCTGAATGAAGCGAGGGGGGAAGGACAGACGCCTGCAGAAAGAAAACAGGGTTGGGGGTTTGGTGGGGTTTTTGGATTATTTTTATTATGTTTTTCCCCTCTCCCCAGGGATAGAGAGCATCCGGGCACTGAGTTTAAGCCCGGTGTGTGTACGGACACCCTGGGAAGAAGAGCTGGAGGGGATGGGAGGATAGAGGAAGGGAATGATGGAGGGGGAAAGGGATGAAAATAAAAAAATAAATATATAGGAGCCATTTTCCACTCCTTCTCCGCATCCGAGGACCGAACCTCCCCGTTACCTGCAGTCTGCGGCTTGGGAGGTGCTGTCAGCAAAGCCTGGAGATGCTTCTCCCACACTTTTTCCCCCCAAAAAGCCCCTTTTTACCCCCCAAAAAATAACAGAGCAGGGGGGCTGGAAGAGGCTGTTTGTGTTTGTTGTCCTCCACCGGGGGATGAGAGGGCCACGGTGCGGTGGTGTGACCGGGAAAGCTGGGTCCCGCCAATACCCCGAGCAATAAGAGTTAAAAAAAAAAAAGGGAAGGAAGGAAGGAATTATCAAACACTGTGCAACTATGACCTCTACAGGTTTGGTGTTTTTCCTGGAGCCTCCAATTCTGGAATCCTGATTTTCTGACTTTATAAACAATCTGAATCATATTTGCTGTATTCACAATATAGAAAATTACTGTTCTTAAAAAAAAAAAAAAAAAAGAAAAAACAAACCCACCTTGCAATGTGAAAAATGCTCACTGGTGTCCTGGTGAGGTGGGTTTTTATTTTTCCCCTCAAAATGTGGAAAAAAAAGAAAAAAAAAAGGATGGTTTCAGGGGTTCGCCTGCTCCTCTGTGGGGAGAGGGGAGGACATTTTCCTCACAGCGGCGGAGCCCCTTTGCAAACCTCATAAATTTATTGGTGATAAACCCATTAAGGACTGCTTTGGGGATAAAATCTTAAATTTGGAGACAGGGGGAGGGTATCGGGGGATGTTTTTAGCAAGTGCAGAGTGAGGGAACCGGCCCGCTTGTCCGCAGAGAACCTCCCGTGGCGGCAGCCACCCACCTCTCTGGGCAACCTGTGCCAGTGCCTTCCCACCCTTAAAATGAAAAACTTCTTCCTAATGTTTAATCTAAACCTGCCCTCTTCCAGTTTATAGCCAAGCATGGCCCAAACACGTTTTAAGAGCCCCATAAGAGGTTTTGGGGTCAAAAATGGCCCCATTCCCCCCTCTTTGGGGCCACAGCGGCCCTTTTGGGGGGCTTCGCCCCCTCACAGGGCCCGTCGCCATGGCAACGCTGGCTGGGCCGCCCTCACCCAAGATGGATCCCGGGGCTTCAGCCCCCGGGAGCCATCTTGAGCAGAGCCCTTCCTGGCAGCAAGAGGAAGGCCGCGGCCATCTCGCCCCGCTTGCCCCCACCGCCCTCAACGGAGAGGAGGAAGCCGCAGCCATATTCCCTCTCTCTCTCCTGCCTGAGGG